CAATGCCTCTGTGTGCTTTTGCCAATCAAAGGCATTTACAGTATGTCAAAACCATCAGTGATTACTGCTCTGCAGCTTTAATTCCCTCTTTTTGCAAAATAAAAGGACTTGTTCTTGCGGTTTCTGTGCCCACATAAGCATCTCTGCATGCTGATGTAAAGTTTTTCTTTTCTGTACATGGGGACCTGATCGGTATTTCTGCATAATACCCTTTTTATTTCAGTGTAAAATTCTGTTGGAACGTAACAGAACAGAGTCTGGTCTGAAAGCCGCCCTTACAGCCTGGCATTCCTGCTCCTGAACAGCAGCTTATCCACAGCACAGAGATTTTGTGATGCCATTCAACATGACACCTGCTGCCCCTTCAAGTGGAAGGAGACACATCTGGAATGCCCTTCTGGCTTGGCGGGCAGAGCTGCCCCTTCCTCCGCTGCTGCAGTAACATCAACCTCCCCAGAAAGCTGCTGTGCCCAGAACAGCAGAGACAAAGCCCTGCCGGTTTCTCCGTGTCTCAGAGAGACATGTTTCCCATTTTGCAGGGAATGTAGAGCTCTGCAGAGCAGAACACCCGGGAGGGGGTGCAGCTTCCTCTGTTTCTGCACCAGCCCTCCCAGGGAGCTCCTCCGCCTGTCAGGAATATGCCACGTTATCCCACAGGCAGGCACGGGGATGATTTGTGCTTCTGGGAGTCACTGTTGTCGTCCTTCTCGCTGGGCTATGGCTCTGCAGCGCCAGTCCAGCCCACCCAGCCAGCGCCTCTCTCCCCAGGGTCCCTAACCTCACGGCAACCGGGAAGGGAGCGGTGCAATGTGAGTGCTGCCAAACCCAGCCCGTGACAGCCAGCGGGAAATACTCCCTGAGAAGTCAGCAATTACTCAGCACCACCGAGAGCAAAATATTCGGGCTGCATATACATCCTAGCCTGTAAGCTGTGATGTAAGGATCCTGAAGGATTTCTTGCTTGCATGCTGGTAGACCCTAGCAACACTGTTTGGTAAAGCCCTGCTCTGACTTGAGAGGTCCAGTGAATTTTCTGTTCTGTGTTCTTGACCCTAGAAGCCTGGCATTTGTTTACTGAAAAAAAAAAAAAACCAAAAAAAACCAACAAAACAAAACCACAGTTACATCTTTAAAGCTGCTGCTTGGTTGGCAAACAAATGCTGGGCAGTGCAGCTCTGCTGAGGTTGTGCAAAAAGAAAGCAATTGTTATTCACTAAGCAGATGACAGCAACGGGAGCTAAGGGGATAAAACTCGAAATCTGAAACCACCTGCTTTAATTTTAGCCATAATTGAAGCGGCTGCCCGTGGTGTGGCTGATGCACGTATCAGATTTGCACGCCATGCGCTGCTCTCGCTGATTTCTGTGGCAGCTCCAGCCCACTGTCTGCTCTGGTTCAGGAGGGGAGGGAGCTCCTGTTTGATTGCAGGTTATAACGGGTACTTTAGAATCTGTTTGTTTCCTTCCAGGAGCAAAATGCAGCCGCAGTCTGATCTCTGATAGACAGATGCTTTAGTCATTAGTGAGGTTTCTGTGACTGCAACACTGTGTCCTAGTATGGGTGCACTTCTCTCTTTTGTTCCTGGTTTGAAGCAGCGATGCTTTCCTTGCTCTTGTGCTCATGCGCTCGCTCTCTTTCTCTCTCCCTCCTCCTTCTCTCTGTCTGTCTTTGATCTTGCTGATATGGGGGAAAATATTGGATCCAAATCTGCAGCATATTTAACCAAAACATCTTGTAGAATGGGAATAAATTGTGACTGAGTGCAGCACCAAGAGGCTGCAGTATGGTTGCTTGTACTGCTTGCTTTCTGCTACAACAAAGCAGCAGCAATCATCTTGGAGTGCTGGGGTTGTTCTGCAGCTAAACAAGCACTTAGGGACTTCACATTCACAGAGGGCTAAGGTGGCTTCTCTGGGAATGGGTGGACTGTACAGAGCTCTCCTCTCAGTCTCTAATGCAGGGATTTGCCTGAAACAGGTAAAAAGGAAAGAGATCTTTCCTAATGGCAGAGAGGGTCTCATCCTTCACTAAATTCCCTGGAGTTTTTGCCACAGAGCTAAATGGTCCTAAGATAATACCATTGCTCCATATCCAACCTTGTCACAGTACTAGCGACTTAAGCTTGAGAGCTGGGCAGCTCACAACAGCATCAGTGAAGGCAGGAAAAATCTTGACCTCAGCTGGAAAGTGAAATGTTAGAGTGGGAGCAGTAACAGTTTATCCTTGAGCTGTTTAGTGCAGATTTATACCGCATGTATTTGTATGTGTATGCCAACTCTCAAAAGCTATGGAAAGCTTTTTTATGGTTTCCTGTGATGAGACGTAGTCAGGGGGGATACTTGGATGAATAAAGAAATATGCCGAGAAGGTGAGCTACGTGACAGATGTGTGTGCTGTCCTTTGTTGATTTGGTGCTGCTCCTTAGTATTAAGTGCTGGGAATAAGACAGGAGGCTTAACTCCACTTGGGATATCACTTAGGAGAAGATCCTCACTGCTCTGGAGCATAGCACGTTGTGTGATGTAAGATCCCCATTCCCTTCTGATCAGCATTCCCTACTAAGCATGTCTTCATTCCTCCCCTTTACTGATCATTTACAGCTGTTCACTTTATTTCATGAGAAATTCTGAAAGGGCTGAGGCAGTAACTGGACTGTGCTGCTCTGTAATTCAGCCCAGAGCTGGCACCGTTTTTCACGTGGCCAAATGAGATTTGCACTCAAGTCCCAGCAGACATTGTTCATCTCAGTCAAAGGAGTCCACATTTTTCTGGGATCTGGTATCTGGATATCTTCTTGTTGTAATAAAGAGGAGGATGGCTATGGCATCCAGACACTAGAGGTGTGTTACCCCTCTACTTGGTAAACTGCCAGCACAGCCTTTTTTGGTCTGACACGTAGATACTTCCATCTTTCAGGAGGCATGAAATGTTTTGCAGAGTGGGACATGTTGGTGTTTTTCCCCTGCGGTCTTTTTATCACTCTTATAGTCTGATACCTGTATGTAAATCATGAAACAGTGAGCAAATAGCAGCATTATGGGCACTTACTTAAAAGACAACTAGCTAATGTCAGAAAATGTTGAGCTCTAAAATAGTATCTTTGACAGTCTTTCCTCCATGTAGTCCGGATGATGAAGAGGACACCAAAAAGCCTGTCATGTTGTTTCAGTTCCTTCTTAAACACAGCTGAGCTAAAAGTGAATGCATGCATTCATCTTCCACCAAGAGGTATCTTCCTTCAATGTGCATTTAAATAATAGATTCTCTTTTTATTTATCAATTGATTAGCTTTGCTAGGTAGAAGAAGTTGGGTAACTGCTGTGCCCACAAGGCATGTGACACCTCTGACCATCACAGGCTGTCTCCTGCAGACTGTGCCAGGCAGTGAGTGCTTGGTGACACATTGCCCAGTGTGCCAGAGCTCCACCATCCACACCCCTGAGCTGTGCCACAGGAAAGAGACGGGGAATGGTTTGGAAGTGCTCTTAGATCCTCTGATTTTGTTGAGGCTTCAGAGAATGTCCCACATAGACCTAAAAGATAGGCATCGATCTCTTTTGCAGAAAGGAGTCCAGTTCCACATGTGGCTCTCGTTTCTCCATCCCCAAGGAGTGTCCTTGCAGAAAGACCAAAAGGATTTGAATTCTTGTGAAAGCTCATACTCCTTTGAGAGCTACGTAGCCAGCAGATGCTTTACAGTGAAAGAGAACATCCTTTGAAAACAATCTGTTGCTTATTAATCAACAAGACATCAGTGTTTGGGGTCCTTCAGCAACAAAAGAGAAGGAAAGCACATGTGGGCCTGGCCTCTTGAGTGAAAACATGCAGGTTCCATCCCTGTGCGCTGCTGAGGAGCAGATTTTGTATAGCATTGTTATGTCAGTACTTTGCTCTCAGTTGCAGTGACATTTGGCAGGATTTGATATGCTTATTTTGAGACTGAGTTGCCTTATACCAGGCAGCAAACCATTCACCTGCTCACTGGTGCTGCCCTATGGATATCTAGATTCATTAGGATCTCTTTTAGCCAGGGAGTTCTCGGGACACTTAGTTTCATACACCCACATATGCTCAGAAGTGCCATTTCTGAGGAGGCAGGCTCTTAGATCTTACTTAAAACTGTGCTGCGTTTCTGGTTTATGTGGGTAGGCACCTGGACTCTCTTATTTCTGTTTCAGAGGACTGCAACATTAGATATGGACAAGAATAAGTCTTGGGCCTCACCTCCTGCCTCACAACCGACACTCTCACTCAGACATCAGGAGAAGGTGTCAGGGCACTGCTCAGCCTGAGGAGTTTGTCCTAATACCAGCTATATCTCAGGAGAACACCCTCACCATCCTTCTCTTCACTTCTCTGCAGCTGTATCTTGAGAAATATGAGGCCAGGGATAAAATGTGAAAGAAGAGATAGAGTACAGAGGGGCACAGTGACCAAAAACAGTTATCAGGATGCTGCAGGGCGAGAAGAGTCCCTGGCCCAACTCCCTGGCATGCATTATGCATTTTACACTCTGTGCCACCATCATCACAGGGAAGAACCACTGAGAGATTGTCCAGTTTTCCAGCTGCAGAGTCTCAGAGATACCATCTGTTCTCCATTTGTTGCAGAAGTTATTGAGGTGGCTGTGTGAGACAGGCAGGATTACCCTCTGAGCTTCAGTGCCTTTGATGAGGCAGCATCTGAAGTTAACACTGAAATTAAGCAGACTTGGTTTTATTGCCCTCGTGTATTATAATGCCCATGAAATCTTTAAAACTTTGTGCCTTCTCCTGGGTCTTCTGTTGTCTCCCTGTAGTGTTTCAGTCATATGCTGACTTTGTCTGACCTGTCTGCCTGAAAAACCAGCAGCTGTCTCCCCTTCCTCACCCCAGCACGCAGTGGGACCTCCCAGGGCTGCAGGATACCTGGGCCAGCACTTCCATGGCTTGGTAGGGATTCTTGGATGAAGGACATCACTTTTGGGAATAATCCTTTTTCCACTGCTTCCTGTCTTACAGATTGATGAACTCCCTGAAGGAGCTGTGAAACCTCCAGCAAATAAATACCCCATCTTCTTTTTTGGGACTCATGAAACGTAAGTGAATGAACATGATCTTTTCCTTTGAAAATGTCTTCTTCCGCTGCAGATAACATCATCTCTACTGATTTTATTGGAACAAATTCTGCCAGAAGCCATTGGGAGCCTAGAAATAGGTCCTCTGAGCCCAACACATTTGTGTTAAATGGAAGTGAAACCTGAAAGTAGATGGGAATGCTGCTGCCTGTGTGGCGTACCATGGTGTAGGCATAAAAGCCTGTATTGCCTGTAAAGAAATGTAGTGGCATGAATTTATTAAAGGGTCGTCTGAGCTCAAAGCCAGGGACAAAAGTTTTTTACTTGGATGTCCATGATACCAGAAATCAAGCTGTTGTATTTGGACATGTTTGAGTTCGTGTCCTGTGTGAGAACTCGCTTGGTGGTTTGTGATATGAAAGAAAGCAGACCCTGGAGTCTTACACAGTCCTCACAGAGCTTTAAAATATGTGCATTCCTGGGAGGCTTGTGCTGGGGATATTGTAGGATGGAGCTCACAGGAGTGATAGAAGAACTGAGCTGGCTGAGCTCATAGGGAACAAAAGGAATCAGAACACAGGAGGTAAGTTAGGTCTTGTAGTAATTGCTACAAAGTACAGAGTTTCAAGATTATAATGTACATGTGTCTACACTATATCTGAGGTAGGTAAAAAAATTATCACAGTTTCCATTTTGCATGGAATACTTTAATTTTAAAACTTTTCCTTCCCCATCTGCAGGGAACATTTTTTCTAGAATTCCTTTAAAACTGGAAAAAAAGAAGTTCTGATATTTTAGTTTGAGAGGCTTGAAACTGTGTTAAAAATTCACTGTTTATTTTTGAATTTTAATATTTCCAGAACATTATAAGCCCCATATCTCATAGATCACATTTTATTTAAAAAGATCTTTAAAGACCGTTTCTACTTAATAAAGCTCATAATAGCCTCTCTTTACTTAAAATATTTCTTCCTATTGCTGAAATGTAACAAATTGATATTTTGATATATTGTGGTCTACTACTACTGTCACAAAATAATCTGAAAAGAATGCAGTTCAAATAAACTTATGATGCTTTCAAATCGGAAACCAAAATGTAATTATTTTTTGAATGGAAACATCATTCTTGAGAAACATTTTAAGAGAAAAATTCTGACCACTTTTGTTCTGAAGCAGAAAAGCAGTTTGTAGTTACTACCTTAATAATTTAAAAAACCTAACTGTTAAAAATGTACTGTAGATTGCAGCTCCTTAGTTTTATAGCAGAGCAGTGGAAACTTATACTCTCCCAGTGGCAATGAATGTATTTGAAACAAAGATGTAGACAGTTTTTCAGTGTTTACTGTACATAAAAGGCAGTGGAAACATTTCCATACATTACTTTTGAGCTAAATTAAGGTAGCTCATGGTAAGTTTCATACAGTTTTCCTTTGTTATTTGTGTTAGAACAGTTTGTATGTATTTTTGACAACAAGGAGACATCTCCTAGTATTAGAAAAAACATAGATAATTTATTCAGATCCCTTGCTCTACTGTAGTTTGGAAATCACTGTTTGGCTTTCAGGTAGAAATGTATTCTTGGCTTTGTAGTTATAAAATTGAGATATTTCTCAATGAGCCAAATAAGTGTGGATCCCATGCTCATGTGGAGTTAGAAGAAAGTTCTTTCCTCAGGGACTTGTCATCTGATGCCTTTAGCAACCAGTTGGCTCTGCACTGGCAAACTTCTTGGCCAGTGGGATGATTTAAGTGAGTGGAACTTTACACATTCATAAATGCTGGGCATAAATCAGGCATTAATCAGAAATAATGTTTACAGCAAGGAGAAATATGACCCTGTGAATAAGATATTAGACTGAGACTGAAGGTAGCTGGTTTTTCCTCTGTACTCTGATCTCAGTTTGAGTTTGACCTTGGGCAAATCCCCGTACCTCAGAAGTCCATCTGCAAAAAAGGGCAACTTCCCAACTTTGTGGTGAGGCTACAACAATAAATGTGTTGTAGGTGGTGGAGCTCTGCAATCCCGTGGTAATGGAGACCAGAGAGTTAATGTTAATTGCAAAGATCATCAGGAAAGTAGGACAGTGATTATAGTGAAGGACACTGGGACTTGCTCAGCTCCAGTCATTGATGACACAGAATCTTCCACGTGGGAATAAAGGGGTCTTTTTGCCATCACTGTTTTAATTTAACTTGTGATTACCCACCTCAATACCGTGATACAGAATACAGTAGATGCAGATATCCAACAAAAAGAAAGTCATGCTTTCTTCAGTTTTATAGAAGAAGTTAGAATTTTACTGTAACATATGTAGAAAAAGCAGGATAAATCATCACTTTGCTTTTTTTTTTTTCCTTGGTAGTTATTTTTCCCTGCATTGTGGTGCCTTTGCCTGAAATTAGTTGGCCCAGTGCATAGCTGACTTAGGCAGCAGCAGAGCACAAAATCCCTCCTTTGCTGTGCTGTCTAAAAAACTATTTGGCCACAAGCACCCTGTGTGTCTCATTGTTTCCTTCTATTACTCATCTGTCTATATTCATCCATTGTTTTTTGTCTTATAGGAAATCATAAGATTTTTGGAAAAGAACATTTTTATTGTGTTTTCACAGGATTTAGTATGTGGGGGGCTTATTCCAGAAAAGAAGATCCCAGGCTTACTGGCAGTATAGATAATAATAAATGCCACTGCTTTTTCTGTTTTGGAGTACCAGGGATAAATTTTGGCCCGTGGATCCTAGGCACACCTTACATGCTTTAACTGCTCACGTGGCATTTTTAGGCCTTTGTGGATTTGTAACACTAAGATTGGAAGTTTGGTCCTTTGCTATCGCAGGCAATTATGTCATATAATCCCTTTCATAAACTGTTCAAGTGCCAGTTCCCAGCAGTAGTTAGTATAATAAAGGAGACATGTTTTAGTTGTTTCTAGAGATGATTTTGCTACAGCAAACATCAAGATGGTGAGCCAATCCATTAAATCAGACTCACAGCAGTAGCTCAAAGACAGTGTGATAAATAAATAAATAATTAAACAGACAAACAAATACATAAAACTGGAAAAGTAATTATGGAATGAGCAGAAGAATGGAGAAAACATTTGCACTGTTAATATTTTGATTTTTTTGAAGAGGAGGGTTTTCAATCCTTTTCTGAATGTTACCTTTGTTAAAATGCAGTGCGTTCCTGGGCCCCAAAGACCTTTTCCCATACAAAGAATATAAAGATAAGTTTGGGAAGTCGAACAAGCGAAAAGGATTTAATGAAGGCCTGTGGGAAATAGAAAACAACCCTGGAGTAAAGTTTACTGGATATCAGGTAAATGACTTTCACATCTACTCCTCCTTATCTTTCTTGTTTTCCTCTTTGAAGACTTCTTGTCAGCGTGAACATTGTATGAGAGATGTGGAAGGTCCTGGTTTTGGTGGAGCAAGAAAGTTTTACAGCTTTGGTAATCATGTAATGTAAGGACAACTACGGTCTCACATGCTGTGACAAATGGAACTTTAATCATACTGCAGAGCCCTTTGCTTTCTGTGATATTCTGGGCTGGTGAAGTGGAAAATTCTGCAGCAGATTTAGTTGAATTAAAAACAAAAGGTTTTATTTACTCCAGTATAAACATGAATAATTTCTGACTTCTTCTTTCTGTTGTTTATTTTTGTATCAGGCTTGGTGTATTTTACACAGACCTTAAGGTCACTGCACTTTTGATTTTTACATTGGTAATGTATAACACGTAGGACACAGCTGCCAAAGCTGAGGAGTGAGGAGGTGGAGGGTTAAGCTGCTGTTAGGAGACAGTTGCTGCTGTACAACAGCTCTCCCTGTTGGGTGTCCAGAGCAGAAAGCCAGTGAAGCTGGAGGGGGAGAAGAGTAGTTGGTGGGCTGTATAAAACCAAAGAACTTTTCTCATTAAAAAAATGTGGTACTTTGAAGGCAGAAATCACCTCCAAAAGAAGGCAAACACCTATTACATTATTATCACAAAACCTTACAAGCCAGAGATACAGACCACCTGCAGAAAAGCTGCTGCCCCTCTCAGTTCCTGTTTCATATTTTCAGCCCTACAGATGTTTTGCATACACTTGGGTATTTGAAAAAAAATCTAGTGAATAGTCTGTGGAAGATGGACTGTCAGAGAGTGCTCAGCTTTCTGGTCAGTGTTTGCTTTTTCAAAGCACAAAGATCTTGCCCTTTAGGGGATGTAACAAACATCTTCTCTCCTGAGTAAGTCTCTCCTATTGCAGACAAAGTCTAAAAGTTTCCATAGTTTTGCCCAAAGTTAAACATGCCAGATCTCTCCTCTGAGCAGCCCTTAGTTCTCCAGCAAACAGATTTTTGTTATCGGATCTTGTGTTTCCGTGTAAACCCTTCAGAACATGCTATCCCAGAATCTGCATCTGATAACTGTGTTCAAGTGGTGGCTGAGAAAATTGCCTTTGCAGCCCATTTTCTTGATAATTGCAAGAATAACCTGAGCTCTTCCAGACTGTACTGATTGAAGTTTAAACTGTCCATTTCCAGTATTTCTATCTTCCATACAGAACAAAAATTAAGTAATAGATTTTAGCGATATTTTTGTTGTTTATGTTATTATTGTAATTGTTATTGTTATTTTAAAGGCAATTCAGCAACAGAGCTCATCAGAAACTGAAGGAGAAGGTGGAAATACAGCAGATGCCAGCAGTGAGGAGGAAGGTGATCGGGTAGAAGAGGATGGAAAAGGAAAAAGAAAGAATGAAAAAGCCGGCTCAAAACGGAAAAAATCCTACACTTCAAAGGTTATCTTCTGAGTATTCCTATTGTTACCCATGTAACATATATACATATAGTTGTACTACTGTCCACCTCATGGCAATTTGTTCTACTTCAGCCTTTTGATTCCAGTACCATAACAGTGGTGTTCCAATGGGCAAAATGCTCTTGCTTTTGTAGACAACCTAGGTGAGAGAGCAGTTTAAATACTCTGCCCTGTTCTAATGCCCACACTCTGAGGAGGTGAAAGTATGGGAAAGAGTTCAGAAGGGCTGGAAAGAAAGCCCATGCAAAGATGGATTGGTAGGTTTAGACATCTTAGATAGGTCTTTCCCCACAAAGAAAAAAAAAGCCTTAGGAGTGTGCCCTCTGGGAGTCATGAGTTCAGATCTAGTTCCTGTCTAGGAAAATTCAAGCTTCTTTCTCCCATCTCCAGTGTGAGCACCCCAGCTGCTGAAAGATCTGGTAGGGTCAGATGTGCTAAACTGATCCTCTTGTAGCTGAGTGTAAAATACATCAGTACAGGATACAGAACGGGAAGGAGGGAGCAGGGAGTAAGGTGCTCAATTTGTAGGTAAGAGACCTGCATTGTAGTACTTGCCAGCACAGTTAGTGTCCAAATAACAACGTAGGTCAGGAAGCTACGAGTGCGTGTCTGCCTCACAACGGCTCGTGAAGGTATTCACCTGAGTAGTGACACCTTTGGGTTCAGACAGACTTCTTACATGTCACCTGGGTGAAAGGGAGCAACGTTATAGTTACTTCCTCTGGTTCTGTGTGTGCCTCCAGGTCTGTACTTGACTTAAAAAATTGTGGAAGTGTGGCTCGTGTTATTCTTTTCTGAAAGTGAAAACTAATTAAAATGAGAAGAATCAAGCAAACAATCTGATCCAGGCTCAATTTGGGGGAGAGCGTGAATTTTTGTGGTTCATTCACTGAACAAAATGTATTAAGTAATTTCACCCCCTTTGTGTGTTTTACATTAGAAATTCAGGTCTGGTCTACCATCTTCTTTCCAGAAGACTCTGGGCAAACAGAGGATTAGGAAAATGGTGGCTTAATGCCACAATTTATCCTTTTGTACTGTAGAATTGCATAATATAAAGGGAGCAGAAAAGATGTATTGGCTCCACATGGCTTTAATGTTAATATATTAAAGCTGACAACACTAAAAAAAGTATGGAAAGCAGCTCTGCTAATGTTATTCTCATTTTACATCTCTGTGTTTAATCAAAACTTTTGTCAGGCTGGCACCATCTGTTTCATTAACTAACAAAACCTACAGGTGACCCAACACTAATACCCAGCTCCTATTACTGTGTCTGTCTTTCAGTCAATTGAGCTGCCAACCTGTGCTGAACACACAGAATTTCTCCTTTTACTTTATTGATGGCAGTAACTCCAGCTACTTCACCTGAAAAATGCTTTTCACCCTGCTTATCTTCCCCAGTATTCACCTTGAACAGGGAACTGCATGATCAGACAGCATTTCACATACAGTTCAGAAGTGTCTTTCTATGTCTGAAGGTAAGTTTTTAATTTTAACTTTGTTGTTGATCATTTTAGAAATCCTCCAAGCAGTCACGGAAATCTCCTGGAGATGAAGATGATAAGGACTGCAAAGAGGAAGAAAATAAGAGCAGCTCTGATGCTGGGGACGCAGGCAATGACACAAGAAACACTTCTTCAGATTTGCAGAAAACCAGTGAAGGGGTAATCTTCTGTTAATGTCATTCACTTCCCATGCAGTTGGCTCCCGGGGGGCTTTGGAGCCAGGCTGACCTGTGCATACCATGTACCATCTTCTTGGGTTGCATTTCAGTGCTCAGAATGTGTCCAGAACAGAAACATGGGCCTGGTCCCTGCCCTGGTACAAATTTTTCTCTAGAGATATGACTGAATGAGAAAAGGTACTATAAGCATTATTTTTGTTCCAACACTTGCACTGATGTCAGCTGAGAGGAGCTACTGAAAAACATGATCTGGAATGATGTAAAATTGATGTGAGAGCAGAATCAAACTGTTTGCATAATGCATGTTGGCTCACTGGCAGGGGGAGCCTGCTTACCCTTTCCCAGTTGTTTAAAATTTGTGCAGTCCCACTGTGTTCTTCGGAATTCAGGAGGGTTCATGTGCACATTACAGGCTCTGCACACTGCAAGTTTCAGGGCAGATCCTGCCCCGAGCTCTGACCTTCCAAGGAGAGGATATACAGTCTGTTCTAGAGCAGCTTCATACAATCTCCTTGTGTGTTTGTATCAGTTGAGTGTTCTTATCAATATTATTTTGCTGTGACCACAAGAACAGAAAGGAAGGCTGCTGAGCAGGGGGATTGGTATGGCAAGTGGTTAATTGTCAGCCACCTTTAACAACCCCTGCTATTTCTGAGCCTTTGAAGCAGCACAAGCCTCCCTGCTCCAGCACTCACAGCTCCAGCTCAGAACCAGTCCTTGTGCAGTTCCCATGCCAAGGCTCTGCCACGTGGCCGAGCAGCCAGGCTGGGCTGTCACAGGAGCTGAGTGACATGAATCCCCAGGTGTGAGAGGAGGCCAGCCAGCACAGGCTCTCATCTGACACTGCTGAGGTGCCTCAGCACCCAGCTGCGTGCTCAGCCTCAGCCCTTTCTCACAAAGCACAGCCTCTGGGGAGTTGCTGTTGTCTCCCACTAAAGACTCCTCCCAGAGCTTCCTTTCCCCATGTCTCTCTGCAGTGCAGTGTATGTTTTGTGGCTCTTTGCTTTATAAAGACTTTGATAGGTGGCTCAGGGGATCAGGAGGATAGTGTTCCCTGAGCCTATCCCATTCCCTATGAAGAAGCCACTGGCTTGAGCCAGAGAGTGGCACAAGGAGACACTGCCCGGCTGTGCCCTCTCAGCCCCTCACCCACAGACTGTCAAGAGGCTGGGGCTGGGGAGTGTGGTGAGCACATAGTGCATGTGTAGCCCACATTCTGTGAACTCTGACACTTCATGTCTCACTCATTTGAGTGAGAAAACTGTTAGTAAAATCTGTCTGAGGTTACAAGAGGTTTGGGAGGGCCTGCTGTGTTTCCCGTATCTGTAGCAGTGACAGCAGTGAACTTCAGGCATGTTCTCCATGCAAGGATAAAATCCTTACTGAGTTAGGTCAGTCACAGACTAAGTGGCTAAAAAGTCACATAGGATGTTGGCTTTGTGGCTGGTGACATTCATATAGCTCTTCTTTCCGTATGTGACATGTTTTTAACCATGGGGAGGTTGAGTCCAGCCTGCTAGAACATCGTGGTGCTTCTCAGGGTTTTCAGGATTGCAGATATTTTGGCCTCTGTGCTGAAATATCATCAACAGTCTGTGTCCTTCCTGCCAGCACCAACCCGCAGAAATACTCCCAGTCACCATTGTCATACCCATGTGGGGAAGGGCTCTGCTCTGACTTCTGCAACCCCAGCACTCGGCCTTGGCCTCACCCTTGAACAATCAGTCTGTAACTAGGGGTTGGGTGCTTTTAACATTATGGGAAAGGGGGAGTTTTAATAGTATGGATAAAAGAGACATGGGGAGATGGTTTTATGGGCAGCTTGAGATGAAAGCACTAAGTTGCAAAGGATTCACATCCTGATCCATATTTTTACCTTGGGCATTTCTGCTGCAGAATCAGCATTTCACACGAGAATCTTCAGCATTTCATTGAGCTTTCGTCAGTAGTGCAGTTCTCTTTCAGGACCAGGAGGGGACACTCCATCTCCTCCTGCTCCTCAGAGCCAGACCAGGTGTCTTTTAGGAGGTGTGCTTTTATAGGACACGAGGCACTCAGGGAAAGAGTAATCAGATTTATTTTTCAATTGGTGTTAAACAGACAGTGTTGAACAGTGTGTCTGGATTGGTGGGGTACAGGGCCAGCTGTCCTGCAGCCACAGCCTGAGGGACACCCAGACTAGGGCTCTGCTGCAGGGCATTGAGCTCCTCCAGCCCACCACACTTGCACTTCTCTTCTGTAGAAAGGAAGGTCGAAAGAGACAAACACGTGCCTGCAGAGTTGGCATTTGGTCCTTTTGTTCACACATATGAATTCTGAAGAATGTCTGGTCTGCTAAAAGGCACCATCATGGACAAGATAATGGTCTCTTTAGAACCATTTAGCTTGTTATAAGAGCACTGGACCAAGAGCACACGGTGTGAGGAAGATGGACCTCCTCCCCTGCAGTGATCAGCACAGGAGCTGTGTACCCACCACTCTGCTCTTCCCAAATCCAGCCACGTCTGTGGCCATGAGATGGCGCCAGGAACCTGCTGGAATGGGCACCCGGGGTGCAAACCTGCTCCCCCCGGGAAGGGGCTGGGGGCTGCCCAACACACTAAGAACCTGTTCAAAGTAAGTTGTAGAAAGGCACCATGAAGGCAAAGAGACAAGCAAAGCAAGAGTTCGGGGCCCTGAAGTGCTGCCCCTGGGCTGTGACTGCCTTTGGCTCCCAGCCCTCAGACCATGCAAGAATTGCTGCAAGGAGACAAGCAGCTTTTCTCTTAATAATACTACTACTAATAAGGTAGTAATTATCTTTTTTTGTGCCTGGACTGCAGGCTGAAGACACATCTCTCCTTAGATCAGACAGAATCTTGCCTTTTAATCACACTCTTACCCTCAGCATTATAGGGATCTTCTTGAAGGGCTAACGGCTGAAGTCAAATGATTGCAGAAGCATCTTCACCTATATTTTTTAATGAAATTTCTGACCTCCAGGTGGTAGAGGTGAGCTTGAAAATGTGAAGTGATGGCTTCCTAAAGACTCAAACCCAGAGCAAATAAAAGTACTTTCAAAGCTATTATATTTTTTGAGCCAATTTCATACTGTTCAAGGGCTCGACTTGTGGGGTTTTTTCTCCCTTGGGTTGACAAAGGTGCTTTCTTATCTCCATCCTTTAGTTTCCCAACTATTCTTTAGTGCTACAGGTACCCTCTAAAAAGAGACATTACTTTCCTTGGTCCTTTCACTACCTGTTTCTCAAGCTCATTCCCTTGAGCTCTTTCCCTCACTGTTGCTCTTTGGCTGACTCCTTCCTGAGAAAGATGCAGAACCTGAACCACGGGGCTAATCTACAAATATTAATTAACTGATAGTATATTAGCTAAGACAGCCCATCTCAGAGTTTGTTCAAGTCTTGAGTCACAGAATCTCCCCATAGCCATCCTCTGCTGTTAAATATAAATTGGTTTGGCTTTTTCAGGATACCACATAAACAGAATTTTCTGGTGGAAAGCTGTGTTGTTTACTTTCTGTGGCATAAAATTGCTCATAAATGAGTGAATTCATGGCAGCAGACTTATATTCCACATTTAAATCTCTGGTGACTTGTGTCTTTGTTTTTTGGCTGACATAGCTCTGAATCTTTCCAACTGAACACCTAAGTTCCTTTTTACTTTTACTCTCTGGATGCCCACAGACTGATGTTTGAAAGCTGGCTGTGGTTCTGGCCTTATTAGAGAGTGTTTGAACGTTGGAGTCAGCACACAGGGCATGTGGCACGTTTTCCTTGTGGTATTCACTATTTTAGTTACAGCCCGGACAGTGTGTTGGTAAAGGGGACGTTCTCATGGTGTACAGATGCATGTGGTTGCCTGTCAGGAGGTGAATGCTTTTGCTGAGTCTTTGAGAAATAATAGATTTGTGCAAAATTAAATACGTTTTTTTGCTCCTGGTACGGCCTGAATATTAAAGTGGGGTAAAGGACTGTGATCCTTTTACTCACACTGACAATCATTACTGAGTCAGTGGATCTATTTGTGGAGGTGACTGCCAGCATGAATAAGGGGATCAAAATCTGGTCCAAAATTACTACCATCTGATACTATTGCAATTGGGAGAACATATTTAAAACAGCCTGTGTCCAGGCTTTTTTGTTGTGATGTTCTTGTGGGGCAGCAACAATCCCAGTTACTGCTGTGAAGGACAAGTGTAATGGTCAAACAGACCAGAGAAGCACAGGTTCACTGTGTCCTTCTGATGTGGTTTTGAGATGTTTGGTTCCTTCACTCTTCTCCTTACTTGTCAAAAATAACATTGGTCAGGCTGCATAACAGGTTGGGGGGTTCATCAGCACTGAAAGCATAGGATTTAGGGCTCCATTCAATGTAAAAGCATTTCTGTGGGCATTTTTTTAAGAAATGGAAACAGAGTATGTATTTCTGTCTTTTTTTTTTTTCTGCAAGATGAGGCCATTTAAAATCTACCCCTCCGAAAAAGATAACATTTGTAAAAATGTCCAACTATAGTATGGTAAAATTTCTATGTAAAAATCAAATAGTGGCATAGTCTCTTGTGTAAAGAGTTATGTCGACTGCTGCCTTCCAGTAGGTCAGGATAACAACACTGCTGGGTAAGGCCGTGGGGCATAACTCAGGAGAAACATAAATGTCTGAATGCAAGTTGAGATTAAAGCAGCCAGTATAGATGAAATATTTGCAGCTCTGCATACACTGAATTTTGTAACCATTTTAACCTCAAAACAACATAGAATAATGACAATTGTACAGAGCAAGTAAATAATTATCCTTCTGCCCATCCAATGAGAGTGTTTTAAAGTACAGGATGGCTGAATTAGTTGCCAGTCACTGTTGAGGAAGGAATTTTCAGTGCCAGAAAAAAACCACAGCAGTTTGTGGATTTTCTTTTATTCCCTGCACTGTGTTCTCTGTCCTACCATTTTACTGATGACAGAAATTTCTCACTCCACTCAGTCCTTCCCTGTGCTGTTTCCTTTGTATGCAGTAGCACTGGTCAGCGCGGCACACGTTGTACCATAGCTCAGAGTTAAGCTGAGAGACTTGTTCAAACAAAGATGATGAGAACTGATCTGTTTCTGAAGAGAAGTGAAACCATGGAGACCATGGAAACTGCTCAGCTCTGCCGCATCCTCGCTCAGCGGCTGCGGCAGAGCCCGGCAGTGCTGCAGGGGAGGGGAAGGAGTGAGGGCCTGAGCGCTGCCCTGGGGGCTCTGCATCTGGGGACGGGAGACCTGCTGACTTCTGGGGCACCTGCCAGTGTGCCTGGGACACAAAATGTGTGTTATGCTGGAAGATGGCACTGGAAACTGTGAAAGCTTTTGTAGAAGGTGATTTGCATACCTGGCTCTTTGTTGTCCCTCCTGTGCCCCAACAGCCACATCTGTGAGACAGTGCGGAGGGGAAGTATTCACATTCCCAGCACCCCGCGTTAGAGTGATGCCTACCCAAACTTCTGGCCTTAGCCAAGAGGGGAATTGTTGTTAATAAGTGCAAAGGTTTCATACTCCGAAAGGATGGCATTCTGTTCTGGATCTGAGAGTGATACTGTAGGGATGGACTGTTATACCACCCATCCTGCCTGTCAGTGCTGGGCAGCAGCTGTCATTGAGAACTTTAGCAGAAGGGAGGGTTTGATTGACAACTCATGTGTAGCTGTTTTAATGGGTGTCCACATCTGAAGGCAAAGAAGCTGCAATGAACCCCTCCAAGCCACATCTCCAAAGCACCTGTAAGTATGATCTCACTGACTATGAAACAGGAGAGAGGTTAGTGGAGTGCAGTGAACTGGATGAGCAGCACATGATTACACCTTTTGGGGGAGGCAGATCTCAGGCAGTTCCTGTAAATCATCACTCCATGCCTGAGCATTTTATAATAACCCCTGATCATGTGTCATTAGTCAGGATGTACCAGGACCTCCCACACGGAAAGGGCAGATTTTCACTACTTACTGTTCACAAACAACTTATAGGAGGGAAGGACTGGACTGAGCAAACACAGCCCTGAGCTCAGAGGTACAGCAACCAGATCAGGATCCCAGAGTGCCAACATGGCACTTGAATGTTCTCATCCTCTTAGACAAGAGAAGCAAGATAGACAAGTCTGCTATCACCATGGCATCACACACAGCAGGTATGATGGACTAGAGCAGGAGAGAGCTTAGGCAGCAAACAGCTAGTGGAGGGATGTTAAAATGCCTTATTTTCATATCCTCCTCGGGATCCTGTGCAAAATGAAAATTCCATCATCCCCAGTGGATTTAACCTGTACCCCCACACACACACTTATTCCTTGATGCTGATTTTGATCACACCAAATACAGTACCAATCCCTTCATGCTGCTCATGTGTGGTGTTTCTTTCCATGCATCAGGGTGTGGGTGGACAAGCATTCACACTGAATTCTTTACAAAGGAGAAGGGATGCTTTGGCCAGGGCTGGGTAGTCATGGCACACTGCATGGTGTCATGTTGCTGGGCTAAAGCAGTGTATCCCAGTGCCAGCAGGTGAGCTTTGCCCTCTCTGTTTAATATGAGGAAGCCAAGACTTGTAGACACTTGCCATGATCACATTCTGATCCTGATCCCATTAATGTCAGGGAAAGCAAGAGCTGACCTTGACTCAACCATGGAAGTGGGAGTTTCTTCCTTTTCTGTCATCACCTTACAGTGAACTCAAGCCAAACTATTTCCTTTTCAGAAGCAACATTTGGATCCCTTAGCGATCAAAACCTTTTATCTTTCCTCATGCTTGCTAAGTGTTCATGTATTGGAACAAGAGGGTGTTCTCGTGGCTGGGCATCCAGGAATGCAGCAGTGCCTGAGCTGCTGCACGAAGTCCATCAGTGATTTAGTGCAGTGGAAAAAAGCAAAATTTGGTTGTACCTGAAGTGTGCTACAAGATTTGTAATGGAGTCATTGGGGAAACAAAAACCCGCCCACATACATCACTGGAGCTGCTTATTTGAGTAAAGCCCTAAATGTTTACTTTTAAACTGTGTTCTTTAATATTTTGTAGTGGTAGTTGATGTAGCATAAGCAGCTTTCTAGGAAAAAATCTGTATGAACAGACCAGGTGGTTACTTGTACCTGTGACTTTCAAGTGTGTGAATAAGATGTTAATTGTATCAAGTTTGTTGCAGCATGTTATTTCTTACATTAAATGTGATTTTTTTTCCCTCTCTCTCTCTTTCAGACTTAACCAACATAATGACTGCTGAATATTAAGGGAAAACACAAGAAGGTTACATGTTTGGTTGTCTAATATTCTTGGATTTGATATGAGTCACCACATCTGTTCATTAGTACCATCAACAGCATCCCAGTTTGTATGCACATTATTCACATTCCTATCTGTTGTGTTTGCAGAAATGACATTTTTACCCTTTTTTCTAAGGGTTACTTTTTGATTTTCATATTATTTGGTTGCATGAAGTTGCCCTTTACCAGTGGCTGAGGTTTATGAAGATATCGCATACTTGAACACATTTTACATTCCTTTTCTAGACAGAAAAGGCGTAATTCCAAATTATGTCATTCTAAATCAGTGTTTTTTAAACACGACTAAATCTTAGAAATTAGTCCCCTCCATACGATGCTACAATATCTTCCACGTACAAACATAATTTTAAATTCCCCTATATCCATTCTTTCTTGAGTTCTGATCAGTTTACAACATAAAAGAAAAATTCTTCAGTTGAGGTCACCGCCAAGTTCAATAATGTAATAAAATACCTTTCCTTATTAGAAGTACCTAGCTAGTTATACTCTTAATACTTCTCCAAACCATGATGTAATGTACACTATCTGACTTAGTTCCTATATGTGGAGTTAGTGAAAGTCTTTTTGTGTTTCTTTAGATTAATACAAGGATTTTTTCCAATGCCAACACAATTTGAAATCATTCATTTTGATGCTTTCCATTTTTAAGCTTACTGTGATATAGAACCCTATGGGAAACCAAAACAAAACATCAATTTTAAATAACGAAAGGCTTAAAAAAGGATGCTGTCATTCTGGCTTTTTTTTTCCTTTTGGAAATAGAACTAGACTAGTAAGTAAGCATTCCAAATCCATTACTCTGTGTACATTATTGTTGCTATTGTGATAATAGAGATTTTTATTTATTTTTATGCCAGCTTTTATTGTGAAAACATATTTAGTCTGGTTTTATCAATCCTTGTTATGCTTGTCCTTGGAACATCTTTTGCGTATTCAAGGTTTGTAGTTGATGAGTTTACTGTAAAAAACTAAAAAAAAAAAAAAAAAAAAACCACAGGGGAAAAAAAAACAACAAAAAAAAACACAAAACAAAAAGGAAACAAAAAAATGTATTGTTTTTACAGAATAAATTTATTGGAATGTGTATTGGGAGTAAGGTTTGAGGTTGTAAGCAACTAAGTTAGCGTCATATTTGGCTTCATACGTGTAATAATGTGAGGTATTAATGTAAGTCAAGTATTAAAGCAAAACATTCTGTTAACATGAGTTGACCATAATAGATACAAGTGCAGGTGAGATCCTTTATTTTTTCTGTACTTTGCCTTTTCTGGATAACGGGAGGTCATTAAATTCACCTTGAATGTATTCAAAGTTTCTTTAAAATCATCAGAAGTAACATCGGAGGTTCAAATACCTGTTCGTGAGGCAGCATGTCCTGTGACAGCCTGACAGCTCTGGGTTTGTTTCCCTGGGAGGATGGACTGGGATGGAGCCATCCCAAAGTCTAGTGCACATGGAAGGAGCCCGCAGCAGGGATGCTGGGTGCCTACAAGCCTTGCCTGAGATGTGCTGTGGTTGTTTTGGACCTGTCCCTTTGGCTGGAGGTGTAAAACCTGTAAAGCCTCTCCTCTGAGCACTGCTGGGAACTGCATCACAGCCTTCAGCAGGAGACTGTCACAGCCTGGATTTCTCAGTGCTCTGAAGGTCCCCTCTTGCAGGGGGCAGCACACAGGCACATGAGCTGATGCTTTCTTGTTACTGTTAGGTTTAGAAAGAAAACTAAAATTCTTTCAGTCAAAAAACCCAGAAGTCAACATCCTAAAATAAAGTGTTTCCAGTTAAAATGGTCAGCTAATTTCATCTGTGAGAAAGGCACTAGGTGTACTGCTTTTAATATAAACACACATAGGAGGCATAGAAATAGCTGGTAATTGCAAACAGAAACATAAGCTGCCCAAGCCAAGGTCACTGTGTTTGCTGCTGCTTGTTTATGACCCAGCAGCAGTAGCAAAAGTAGCTGCAGAGAACACAGCCAAAACCCCTCCTCTCTGAAAATGCACATACTGTGTGAGCCCAGGGGTTCACGGGCCTGAGCCCTCCATGCCCAGCCCACAGGTGCTGGTGAGCAGTCCTTGCAGAGGTGAATCCTTAAGAGAATTAACAAAACCATATGATTTGCTTATCATATATGGAGTCCTACCATAACAGTTGATTGCTTCTTAAAAGATTTCTTGGGATTTTTAACAAGGCTGACCCACAAGACATACTTTTTGACAAATAAAACGTGTGCATGTGACAGAGTTATGTATGTTAATTTTTCACGCTTCACAATGCTGACCTTCATGTTCCGCAGTAGCTGTGCAGGGACTGCTGGCACTGCTGTTCTTCTGCGTGCGGAGGCTAAACACTGACATCATTATTATTATTTAACTTCATGCAGTATTTCTAAAACTGTCAAAGCAGCTTACTTAAAAATAGCTGTGGGAACTGGCAATCCACTGCCACGCAAAGTCACAATGTTGAGAAATGGTGCTAAAGGCAGTCGTCTTTATTTTCCCTTTTTGAGTAGGATAAACAAAACAGACCGTGCAACTTTACACAGTTGTGCAATTTTACACATCTTACACACTTTGTTTGGGTTCCATCTGAGCAGTTCAGTTACATCCCAACCCAATTATATACATAGCCAAGGAGAGGAGCTGAAAACAGTCGTGCTATTCTGTTTTATCTTCTTGTTTTGGTTTCATAAAAAACTCTGGCTTGTTGACACACCTGTAAGCGAACAGCTGAGGAAGAATCCCATACATTACGTTCAATATCAGGAAAAACTCTTTTGCTTCTTCAGGGACTCTGTAGATGTAAGGAGTTCGAGCATGAAGAGAAGCACCAATATGGGAAAATTGAGCCTGTGGTGTGTATATAACGTTTATATTAAAAAAGGTGAAGTTGATGTATATTTTGGAAAGATGGCATAATCTGCATGCAAGACTGCATCTCCAGTGACATTTTCCAAGCCAGCCCTTTTATTCCAGAATTATCCATCATCCTTTTGCACACTGGTATAAAAATGCAGTTTAAACTAAAATCATTAATATCTTGGTATAAGAGGCATGACTGGAACCATGAATGGCATGGTTGGAGGTTTGTTTTATGCACATGGTGGCACTGATACATCAGGTATAGGATTGCACCCTTGGCTTCTGCATCATACTTTGTGCAAGAGATTCCACGATCCTTCCCCAGGCAAATGGCCACGGAAGTGGCATCCCCACAGAGCCCTGTGCTCCTGCTCAGCCCAGTCAGGGAGTAGGACTGGCACCCACCTGCCTGGGAATGTTGCATTAGGCTTCAGTAGGAGCAGACAGTCTGAATAAAGTTAGAGAGTAAAATCTTGGAAGCTGTGTTAGTTCCGGTTTGAATTTAGGTTTTGTTTTTTAATCTTAAACCCAGAGTGTTCCAGATTCTGATCCCAGAACTCCTGATGATTTCAGAAAATGTCTGCAATATTCGGCTTTTGGGCTGGGGTGGTTCTGAACTATGGGTTGAGCGTGCAGTGAAGGTTATAGGCACAGACAAGCTTGCTGGCCTGAAGCATATTTTTAGCATAAACAAACATTTAAAGATAGAAGTGTCAGGATAGTCGCTGTCTTTTGTTTCCATCTGTTACCTGCTATTTCAAGCTGCAGCTCATTCACATTAACTATTATGTGTCGAGGTTTTTTATTATTATTTAGTTAGCAGTGGAGGAGATATGAGAAGATAAACATGAGCAAAACACTGAGACACCAGAATTTTAGGAACACAGAGGAGTACACTAAGGCCAAATCACTTCCTCTGTTCTGGCTTCAGCAGGAGTCATTTTAAACTCACAAAGAACACAGTTCTGGTCACAGCAAAGTAGAAGGGAAAATACAGTGCAGGTGTTTCAATACACCATCCCAGCAAAAGGTTAGGCTGAGACCATCCATCAAAACAGAACAGGAAATTGGTTTTCAGGTGATTCCAACCACCTCCACTGAATGGGGAGAGCTTATCAAGCAAACCTGAGCCAGGAAACGAAATAATCAACAAAATCAAGTACAAACACACTTCAGCAGAGTGCCACTTAGCATCTTTCTGTAAATAGCTATTACACAGCAAACAGATGTTCAGGGGCACACTGTCAGCAGCCTGTTTACATCGGCCTTGTAATTCAGTCTGTCTCTTGCAGCCCGTTTGTTCTCACCTCTCAGGCAGGACTTGCCTTTGGCTCCTGGGTGGGCTCAGATCCCTGCTACTTCTCCTGGCCCAGGCAGCCAGAGCACTAATTCTCAGCACCAAAGCCCACTTGTTACATGAAGCAGCAGATTCCCAGGCAGAGAACCAGCCACCATCAGGCTGCAGAGGAAGTTTGGTCTGTCTGGTGTTTACCTAGACACTGACAACCTCCTGAAAGCATTTTAGAGCCTCTTCTGGGGTGAACAAGACGCTAAGCTACCTACTTGCTGTGGAGGACTGTGAGGTCCGCCTGTCTCTGAGAGTGGCCAGCCATGCATCGCAGTAAGTTGACAGTAAATTCCTAATAATTCTTAGTAAACCTTGTCAGAAAGAACTGTAAGGGGATGCTTCTGAGAGACCCAGAACACTCAGAGACTCCAAGATGCCTTTGAGTATCTAAGCCTTATTGTGTGGTCTTGTCTCTTGCAAGAGTTGTGGCACATTAGTGAGCTTTGAGCATTGTAAAACCAAAAAGCAGTAACGTGTCCTGTCTGTAGCCCATGAAGATTTTTACTAGCTGATGATGCACCATATATAATGAAGTTATTGTTTATTAGACTTGTTTTTCAATGTAACACATTGCTTCTTCCTTTCATTACCAGGGAGGATATTTAGATCTGTTAAAGTCACTTTTTTTTCTTAATTTATTTGATTTGCCTCTGTAGAAATTGTGTTATGTCTTTAATCTTGTGTGTTTCATTTCCATGACTGTTCTGTGTCTTAAAATCAGATCTCTCACTCACCAATAGCCCAGTCCTGCTCTTCCTTCAAGTACCAGGCAGACTTACACCAAGTCAATAATTTTGAACAGTAAGACAAGAGCTGTAAGACAGAGCTCTGTGTGCAACAGGCTGGTGCTGTGCTAAGTGAGAGAAACCACATGTCTGTTGTGTTACCTCGCTGTGATCGGGGCCTCTCGGCGAACAAGCCATTCCTTGGTGCTTTCTGTTATTGAACCCTCTCCAAGCTGGGAATTTTGAGGCTCAAACCAATCCCTAAACCTTGGCTGAGAAATCAACCAAATGAGATGCTGCAGGTAACTTTCTAAGGCAGCCTTACATGTCTAACAGCCAGCCTTTGTTACCCTTGGAGCCTCGGCCAATCTGCTGATCCCGGTTGGAAGCTGCTGGGTGCTGGATATGGCACTGCTCAGCTTGACAACTGCAATTCGTGTATGCCTCCTACTCATTAAGCTTCCTGTCCATAGGAAGTAGTTTGGATTTGGATTATTTTACAATATTTTTTGCTTTGTTGCCTAATCATAGGCAATAGTTCAACTATTTCTTACCCTGCAGCCAAGAAAGCCCTCCAGCTGGGGACAGAGAAGGGCCTGGAAAAAGGTTAGGAGTCCTTCTTTACTCTGTGCCTTCTCTTTAAGACTGACTAAAATCAGGCAAAGACTGTAGCTTTCAAGGGTTTGGACCAGTTCTCCTGAGCCTAAGGAAAGCCATCCAATAGAGTGGTGAGAGAGTAACCTAGAGAAATATATTCCTTGGGTTTAGGGTCCCAAAGGTAGATAAGTAGGCACTGCAGAAACTAGCCACCAAAAACTGCAGAATTAAACCACTATGAGAGGGAGTAGAGGAAAACTTTCTATGTTTCAGAAAACAGAGAAATTGGCTACAGAGAGCTGGTGAGACAGAATGCTTTTGGATAGCAAGGCTGTGGCTGTTCATCCCTTCTCCCATGGCTCACTTATATACAGAAATACCAATTTCATCAAAGTCATAGACTGTTCCAACCTTTTTCTATAATCAGAGCTCATGGTACTTTACTTACGTGAAATTTAAAGAGCTCCTCCTGGAGCTTCAGAAAGTCTAATAATTACTGGGTCATAACTGGTTTTGGAGTCTAAATGTTAGTAACAGTTACATGTAATTCTGAAAAACAGTAAATATGTCTCTGTGTGTGAAAGGCTAGTAGGCACTTTTAGAGGTTCTTAGTTTAGATGCATCATATGGTATTTTGTGACTTGTTTTTGTAAAAAGTACATCATAATGATAGAAATAAAAATTGAAGTCTCTACGTTCCCCATCTGTAGGAGCAGTGTTCATTCCCAGGGAGCAGTGCCCACTCCTTCCACCAATGGATATTTACCTTTATTGGACCTTTGTGCATAATAGGAAGCAAAATGTGTTCCAGTAACTACATATGTTTTAATGATAAATTACAGTGTTTTAACTTGAGAAAACAGCAGATGAACCTGGAAATGTGGTTTTTTGCCTCAAAATAGCAAAACCCCAAAATAATATAGAAAGAGTCCTCAATTCATTGTCACATGTATTTTACATCCCAGCCTGCTCACAGTTCACCAAGTCAAATCAATTCAATCATAGTCAGTTGGAGGATGACTGAAGTTCATCCTGCAGTGCATTAAGGTAAAAACTACCAAAAAAACCCCCCAAAACCCTCCTAAATGTCAAGGAATGGTTTTTTTGAAGCAAGATAAAATATAGGGAGTACACAGCAACATACAGCTCTCTTAAACAGTTTTTCTCAGCCCACAGTGTTTGCTGCTGCCAGGACAAGCTTTAAAGAGTGAAATGGGAAATTTTGAGTGTTAATCTAATCTGCAAATTGACATCCTGAGGCCAAACCACAAAGAACAACAGAGGGGTTTTAGACTTCAGCAACAAAATGTTGCATCATACATCTAAAAGGATAAAACATCATTAAAAAAAAAAAAAAGGCAAGTGTTTGTTACAGGAAACATTAAAAAACAAACAAACAAAAAACCAACAAACAAAAATCACCTCCAGGTGGGGAGGCTGAGTTTTCTGGTAAGTTTGCAAGGTTGTGATAGTCAGCACACTTTGACTTCTGGTTTACTTTTCCTTGTGGTAAAAAAATCTTTGAAGGGGTAGTTTCTTTCCTGATTGTCTGGGGAATTTATGAGACCTCAGTAATCTGTCGGTAAAGAAAAGTTCCTGATATGACTTTACCTACTTTAGCTAGTTTTTGCTTTTTTTTTTTCCTAAATTACATTTAGGCTAAACACAGTTTTATAATATTTATAATGCCTTTTAAGCATCTAAACCTCCTCGTTAATGTTTGCCAGATTCTGTTTTGATATCACTTAATAATTCAAGATTCTCTATAAACTGTTTGGAGAGAAAAAAGAAAAGAAGTCTATTCTCTCTGATAATTGCTCACAAATAGAAAATGTCATTCCACCATCCTTACTGGGCAGTTAAAGTGGATTGTAGTTTGTATCCATGATTGTTATCTCAGGCCTGAGGAACGAAGTGTTGGTCTGTGTTTGTCTAGTAGTGGTATTTGAATTACACTTATTGCTGTGTCCCTGTGTTCTCACTATTGTGGCAGGATTACGTGCACATTTTCTGCATTATCTGGATGCTCAGAGCACATTTAATTTCCTACATACAGTACAAATCAATTGTCCCTGTGTCTCAACTGTTTAATGGTCATCTGTACGTTATGAGAAGTCATTTATCACTTCCTGTTGGATTGTTTTGTTTTGATCAGTCTCCTCATAAGCATCATCACCATCTAGTAATTAGCCACTGTTGTTTATTTGGGAGAATCAGAAGGGAATGAGTTAAGGAAGTATGATCATTGGTCTGCCTTTGGCAGCACAAGCATGTCTGGGTGTTACTGTGGTTTGTGGCCCAGGAGGTTCCCAGTGTTGTATCCATATCATCAACTGATACTGTACATTTTGTGTGACCAGTAGATACTTTTTTCCATTTATATGTTTCAAACTACCTAGTTAGCCAACTCATATTATGGAAACAATATATTGTGCTGCTTTGTTGTGTTTGGGATTTTTTTTACATGGTTGACTGTCACAGCTTTAAGACAGGCTTCCTTCATAGTCCCAGCTAAAGAGTGCATGGTGCTTAATAAGGTTTAAATGAGCACAATAAAAACATTGTGCAGAAGGAGAGAAGTCTGCTAAAGCAAGAGTGTGGTCATTAGAGACATGTAATAGATTTGATTCTCCACTCCCTTAAATTAAGGGTTTTTTTACAGATACAAAAACTGATCTGATCTGAGTTACATTAGCATAAAACCTGCATGGAAAGATCAAGCCCTGGTCCCCTTATTTACTCCATAGATGTCTACTTATTAACTTGTAATTCAAAAGTGAACATTTTGCGAAGAAATACCTGAGCTAGTCCTCCAGCATGTATGAGGGTTAAATCAGGCATCCAGGAACAGCCAGGCACCAGGAGGCCATACAGAGCAATCACATAGTATGGCACAGAGTAGAACATGTATGCCAGCATCTGCATTGTAAACACAAATATTAGTTGCTTTGCAGTGTGAGGGAGATGCATTTAAAAATCAGCCAGCTGCTTACTGAGAGATTGAGACTACTCAAAACTACACTCCTGGCAGCAGTTATTCCGAGGCCTTTTTGCAGCTCTAACTTCTTTAAGAAGGAATTTCATACCTGGATACTATTGACTGGATCCAGCTACCCTAAGGCCTCCCCTAATATTGATGGCTGTTTTCTCCTTGCCCAGGACATGTTTCCCTACTCCTTGCCATCTTGAGACCATGCCAGTAAGCATGGCTTGACCTAACTCCTTGTCCAACATAATGTGGGTGTCCATTTTTCAGGCTCCATTGCACTCTCAGGTGGGAGGTATGAGATACACCCACACCTCCCCTTTCCCAGACAGAACTGGTCCAGCAGTTACTTGGTTTCTGCTCATTACCACACCCCTGCATCCTCTCACTGCTTCAGGCCCTGTCCACATGCAGCAGCCAGGCTTGCAGGAGAATGGCAACCTCCAATATTACAAAAGTAAAGCACAACATTCCCTCATCTGCAATGCTTTTTGTATAGTGTCCTGTTTCAAAGAGTGTGTCACTGGAGACAGAAGTGAATGTCAGCTTAAAGAATCTTATCTACTACACCCCTTCTTACTGCATTATTCCAGACTGAAAGTCTGCTTTGCCCTTCTAAGGAAGGAGAATGAACATTTTAAAAGAAGTATGCAGATCTGTTTCATGGACTGTATTACAAGAACCTTGAGTAATCAGGGTGTGTTACTCTAGGTAACTAATTTGAATCTAAGTTTATCACAATGATGAGTTGATGCCCTGTAATGGCTATACTAGAAAATAGGAAATACTGCTTAACTTGCCATGAACTTCATCTGTGAAACCCATGGCTTCATCTTTGCACCAGTTTACAAATCACTCCTTAACACACTCTGCTCCATGGTCAATGCTTTACCTGAAGCTTAGGGTAGGCAGCAGGATCTTTTATGTAGGGCTCATGCAGTTGAATATACAGCCGGCAGAGTTCAGCAGGGCAGTCCAGGGCAATCTGAGGAGAATTTTCAAAACTTCCTGTGAACAATTTGTTCTAAAACCAGCCAACCTGACATCTGTAACCAGCCCTAAAGATGCACTAGTGGTCTGCAGCACTGCTACCCTGGAGGCTTGCAAAGGTGATCCATGGGATCACCAATTAACAGGTGAAATGCAGCCCCCTCTTGGCTCCTGCTCAGGGGGGTTGGGAGGAAATGCTGGCAGCCTGCTTTAAAGACTTTGACTGGAGAGAATTTGGTCAGTTGGCTATGCTGTAGTAAAAGTATAATTGCTATTGATTTGCTCTGATAAACAACCTTTGATCCCAGCAAATGTACTTTCCAATGGAAAATTGCTCTAAGAGTGGAAACTTCAGGTTAGGCACCCAGTTTTAGGATAGTAAACTACTAATGTAGTCTAAGAAGAGCTACACTGGGGCAAGGTAGCAACAGAGAGCAATGCAGTGAGACAGGTGTTACTTACAGTAATAATAGTTTTTAAGAGAGTAGCAAAGGAAAGATTATTGGATTTTGCATTCCTATAGAAACAACTTCCAAATAAACATGGAGAGATGCAGTTGCAAAAGTAGTTCCTTTTCATAGTAGCCCTTAAAACTACTACAAAAGATACAAAAGATACTGTTCTGAAATGAGTTAGCAATCTGGATCAGCAGCTGTCAGTGTGTGTTTATGACATCATTAATGCCTGAGCTACAGGGATGAAGAGTAAGTTTTGCATAACTTGAATTCATATGTATTTGTTGTGTGACTCTGAGGGGAAAGCGCAAAGATTTGCAACCAGTGGATGTTCCTTCCTGTTCTTTCCAACATGGGGATACAAGAAGCAGGTCTGAGTGGACTATAATGGATTATGTTTTATTAGCTTTTTCACAAAATCATGGTTCCTGCAGCTTGCACAGAGATGTTCAGTTGATCTCTATAAGTAAAACCAGTAAGCAGTTCCTGTTTGGTGAAGGAAATCTATAATGAAATGACCACACTCTCAAAATAAAAAAAAAAACCAAAAACACTCCTCTGAGAAATGAAATGGGATTGCAGAACCAAGTTAGACAATGAGACTAATGTTTCCAACAGTGAAATTACAGGTAAAACTCTATCACTGTAGCAGTGTATCAGTGATGCTCTGAAGTAGCATGATCTGTATGATATAAAGCAGCCTGTGACAAAGTAGAAGGAAAAAGTGGTTTTGAGGGGCCAGTTTTCAGAGAAGCAGCAGGAGATAGCAGAGTAATGTGAGCAGCACAACTACAAAGGGACAATCTGCACTAGGTAAATAAAATGTTGCTTGGGTATTTATCACCACCTCTTACTTGAACTATTCTAGAAAGGATAAACATTCAAGCTTTGTTCACTGAATGATACACAAGTTTCATCCTGCTTAAGACAGAAAATGCACTAGAGCTGACAAGGGACTACACTTATCTACTACTGGATTTATCTCTTGAAAGCATTTTCAGTACTGCTTCCTCCCCTCAGAAATTTTAATTCAATCAACTATACTTAGAGAGCAAACATTTTAAAAAATTGTCCCTTGGTTAGTAGAAACAACATGTGTTGTTCAGGTGCCATGGATAATTTTTTTGCCTTTTAGGTGGAAATGTTCTCTTAGACTGCATGAGATAGAAGTTAACTTGATTTCCTGTATAATTTTAAATATGCATTTCTGCTTAGAAAAACACAAATATAGAATTCCTTCAGTTGTTTGTCTCCACGTTCTTGGCTGTAAATGTAACAACAGGCCAATGAAAACAGTTTTAGGTCGTGTTGATTTGCACTTGGGATGCTATTTACTCTCATGATTGTGTACCTCCTTTTGAAAAACATGCTCGCACAGCACAAAATGGAGAAGCAAAAGCACCAAGAGTTAGCATGAATAATTTGTCCTTTTATATCTAAGGCATATTTGAACCCTAAACATTACAGGATTTCCCTTGACCACAATGTACATGGTTTTTCATACAGACTCAAATTTAAAAGTTGAACTGAACATTAGAGGCCAGAGTATTAAAACATATTCAACTTACCATGCCCCTAAATATGCAAAACCCCGTTGCTAGGATGAGGTATGCAGCTAACATTAAATCTATTGGTCGTCTTAAGAGCCCTTTCTTCTGGACTTCCTGAACCACCTGCAACACAGAACATGTTTAGTAAGTACATCCCAGTTCCATGTGGCTTGTTTAACTACAAGGAGGGTGAAGTGGTGAAACATCATTTCTATCCACTGATTTCAGAGACAGAAATATTTCCACGTCTAAAAAGGTGACTTCAGGCTTGATACGATGTAGTGAGGAAGATTAATCTGAATAAACTCTAGAAATGGATGGATCCAACTAAAGCCATTTCAATATAGATTAGTGCCATTTCAAAGCAACCTGAATCAAATGAACACTAACTCTGCAATCACCTAAGGCTTTACAACAGCATAACTAACTTTTTCAAAATTGTGTGTTTTGTTAATTGGAATTCATTAATTTTCCTGAATGTCCCCATGTAGAAAAGCCTTGGAAACATAAGTTTGTCTCAAACATCTGACGTTGAATCTGATATGCTTTGTAAAAAGACTGGGTCCATCTCATTACTGACAGCGAATGCTGGTTTTCAGCAGCTTGTGACACTATTGAAATCAATGGAACTATCACTGGCATAAAATAAAAGCTTTTCTGTGGCTGGTTGGGTCCCCTGCTGAGTTCAGTAAGCAAATATTATATATTAATATGTAATGCCTAACTAGAGAATGAAATGTGCTTGTGTGTATGTGTGTGTTTGGAGTATGTGGATAAACCTTCCTTTCATTCTTTCATCACTTTGTGCTGTGGATTCCTCTGGCAGGCACTGAAAACACTTCTTTCTGGGTCTGATCTGTGCCTCCTTTCCTCAGCTCAGGACAAGAATCCCCCCAGTGCTCTGCAGGGGCAGATGTGAGGGGTTCACACCCCATGGTAATAAAGGCCATATCCATATCTAACAAGGTGGCTTGGAAAAACCAAAGTCATCCCTTTGCCTACATGGTAAAAACTACAAAACCCGTGGAAATAATTCGAGGTGCACTTTCTGCACTGTGTAGTCACAAAGTTGCAAGCACATCAGTGTATCTTTCTGTAGTTCAGAGGGAAAACTTCCCCATGTATATGTGTTACTCATTTCCTCTTCCTTTTTATTAGCTCTGTGTTGGCATGCAGACAGCTAAAGAAAAACCTGATTTCCTTCCTGTTATACACTTGTGGAATTGTCTCCAAAGCGCAAAACAATAATTAGGATGCAAGGGCACAGTTAAAAGCACTCGGGATCAAGATATTCACAATGAAGTTATTGAAACAGGAGAAACAATCTTGCAAGCACAATTCCTGAGTAAAATCTACTAGCTCTGAATTCTTGGCTAACAAAAACAAGGCTACTGTAAACACATAGGCCATCATAATACTTTTTCTGTTTTTCTTTCAAAGGATCTTTTTCAAGAAAAAAAAAGTGACACCTTTGTTTTCCTTTCAAACACAAATAACAGGTTTGTTTTGGCAGTATGGTGTCACTTCACAGTATTCACAGTATCAGTGTAGGAATGCTTTTAATATTACTGGAAAGGATGTCTATATTCTAATATTTATTCCTATGAAAGGCAAAGGTCTCCCAAGGCTGCTGAGTTACAAATAATTTTCAAATGTAACTACCTAGGATAATAGAAAGCTGATATATTTTCTTTCTACTTTTGACTAAGTATGAGGCTTATCTATCTATCTGTCTATATCAGTATAGATAGATATGTATCACTCCTCCTTTCAAAATGAATATTAAATGAATATGCATATTTAATTAAAAAGCTACAATAGAACCTTGTACTTATAGAATTTGGAGACAAAGCCAATATAAGTGGAGACAACCTTTGGTGTAGTTTGAGTTTGTGAAATTGCCAGGGTACGGAAAACTCACACCTTTTTTTCCTCTGTGCATGTGTGCAAACAAAATAAAAATGCAAAGCTTAAAAAAAAAAATAAAAGCAGAAGCAAGAATTCGAAAGACAGAATGCACTTTGCTGTCAGAATTCAGCTACGAGGTAATTTTTCCTTGCCTTTCTTTTACACAGCAAAGCCATATCAATAAATGCTAAAATGAATTACATGTTAAGTACACTGGCCAAGCAAAGCAGGCTGGCCACGGGTTTCCCATTTACGGCAAACAACATTGAACTCTGCACAGATCTCATGCAGAGTTTCTTTTGTGTAACAAGGAAGTGGGCAGGCATGCTTTGTAATTTCTCTCACGTCCAGGAAAAAGCTATTTTCCATAACTTCTGAGGGGGTTCTCACATGATCAGTTTTAAGGCATCAGAATAATTTTGTGTGCTGTCTGCAAAAGTCCCTTCAGAATTCATGTGCGAATCTGAATTTCTGTTTTAATTGTTAGTGAATTTTAAATTATATTAAACTTTTCTGAGCTAATATACTTGTAGATAAATCTGTTGGGCTTTGTAACTACTGCAGCACAGCTTGGTTTGGTTGCAGATGAGGACATAACTCCGTTCTGCTCCCATGCATCCATCTCTACTAGGAAACACCCAAAACTTGATTACCTCTCCCTGTTCCCACATTGATTATTTTTTTTTAACTAACTGATTTGTAATAATATTATAGCGATGTATACCCTGGCCAATAGAATATGCCTTGCTTCTACTGCTTTCATGGAAGCATTTTTCTATATACTATATCATGTTTAAAACCATTGCTACATTTTCTTCCTAAATCTTTTAATACCAACTCTGAATAACGATAGCTTCAAAAAGTTTTACAGCTAATTGTCAATGATCTGCTGAAAGAGAATTAAGTATGTTCAGGACTCACAATTATTAGCTCACTGATTAATAGCATTAAACACAATTATTTCCTGGCAACAATACTTAATTTAGGACTGAGAGACTTCTATGAAAAATTCATGAGTAGTCATGTTAAGATTTACAGGCATGCTCGGATATGGAGCACAAGTTACCAGTGAAGATAAAATCCAACTTCTGAAAAACAAACAATTTGGGAAGGGTAGGAAGTCCCAGTGACAGGAATCAAGGCTTTTTCTATGACCTTCTGAGCAAGGAAGTTTATGTTTACAACAAAGGATTCACAAAAAGCGTAATATTAAGTTTTCAGATCACCAGCATTTCATGCACTTTTATTTTTTTTTTTTTTATATAGAATTTTAAAACTAAGTTTCTCTGCAGTATATACCAAATTAAGATATGAAACCTAGGTAAGCAGTTTAGCTCCTGATAAGCACAGGAGACATAGCTGTATTTCAGCAAATAAGCAGCAATTCCTATAATGTCCATTTCTGGGGTGTTCTTAGTACTAGCAAAACAAACTGAAACCTTTGTCCATCCTCCGTGCAAAGGCTGTTCTCACTAATATATACAGCAAAAATTGCCATCACTACCTTTAACTACACTTCTCTACCTTGATGACTCTAAAGAATGTGTTTCTGGCCAGAATTATTGATTCCTTTAAATCAATCAGCTCAGGTTGCTTTGGGATGGGGCATATGGTTTCCTATAAGCCTGTGCAGGAGAGTGGAAGAAGTTTTGGCACCTGAAGACTCCCCTAATTTGCCTTTCACGGGGATTTGCCCTAAAAGTTGTGTTTCTGTAGTGGTTCTTCAAACTTCAGGAGTTATGAAAATCTGTCTGTGCCTGCCTTTCCTACTGAAGAATCATGGTTGGATGGATGGATGTTATTTTTCATACATCTCTGGGAAAATCTGTCCGTGCATCACCTGCTGTTACTCTTTGCCATTGGCTCTGCCTGTGCACACTGACGGCCCCCTGGCTCTGGAATGGGAACTAATCCTTCACCTCTGTCTATGTTTCCAGTTACAGAATGAACCTGATTGAGACTCAGGAGCCCTTGTGATGCAAAAATATTAGTCGATTCTGTTGCTTACAACTGATACAGAGTGCTGTGGCAATAAACTTGCTTATAGCAATCAACAGTTAAAAGATCTGTTCTGTGCTTTGTACTGCAGGGAATTTTTTTTTTTTTTTAATAAAACAGTGCATGAACTATTAATGCATTGTTTTGATTGCTCAGTTGATCTTACAATCCAACTAGTAAATTCAAAGGCAAGAGTCTAAGGAGTTTTAAGTAAACGTCTTTACAGATTTTTTTTTTTAATAAGTGTGTAAATAATCTTCTTATCTGTTTATGTACATCTCACCTGTAAAATCTAATATTGAAGAAAGCATATACAAATAATTATTAAATGCATGAAATCTGTAGGTCATCTTCAGAAGAATACTTTCCTGTAGTGTTTCTATGGGATCCTGTGGTGCTTTATGAAGCTGGTATAGGTCAGTATTTTCATCAGCTAAAAAAACTAAAGCGGTCAGAAACTGAATAGATAGAAACACAATTACACCTACAAATGGGTTCTTTACTCTAAACATAAGATTCTTTTTCTTTATTCCACCATGATGAAATAGTCCTCCAGTACAGACATTTTTGCAGTGTCTACTCAGCCCAACAGCAATTGTCACAACAGCAATTGTCATAACAGTCACAGTACATCCCATGCTCTCTGAGGGACCTATAAAACCCACCAGAAGCAACCAGCATATTTCAGCTTTCCTAACAGTAGCCAGCACTGAAACACAATAAAATTACCTTGACTGGAGTGTCTTGAGTCACTGAAGGTTGGTTATAAATTCTGAATCCAGCCCATATGGGGAGGCAGATATATGGTACACTTAGGAAAAAAGCAGGAAACACTTTTGTTCCATATTTGCCTGTTAAAGAATTATTATAAGATTTATGAGAATTTGTAAGCTGTGTTGCAGAAGAATTTAAAAATATCCTATGTAATATCAAATCTGAAGCAGCTATAGTAATATAAAGATAAAACATTAGAAATCACTGTTAAAGAAACACACGAGTCTTGTTGAAAATCACATGCTGGTAGAGTCACAGGTAATGGAGGGCCTATTTTACAGGAAGCCATTTCAGAAATCAGGGAGCTTTAGGGAGATGGGAAACCACCTGTCACTCTGCACCAGGTAATCCTGCAGGATGGGACAGCTTTGAAATCTCTCAATGGAACCTGATTCAAAGAGAGAGCTTGTTCTTTAAAAAATGGAAATAAAAAAGTGTATCCATTTTGCAAGACCTGATATTGCACTTGCTTTCCAAAGTCCTGATTCCTTCTACAGGCCTGTACTGAGGCCAAAACATTCCGAGAGCTATCCTCAGCCCAGGAAAATCAGGAAAATCTGTGTCTTTCACACGGGCTACTCTCTGTGTCAGAAAGGAAGGCAGGAGGAATGCTCCTGGGAGCAAGTTTCTTGGCCTTCCCTAGAGGGAGAAGAAAGGGATACTGTTGCACTAAATCTGCTCTTTTTCTCTGTGGTGGATCTACAAAGGAGGGCACTGGGCTGGCCCCAGCCTGCACCGTGAATATTCCTCCTCTGTCATAAAAAGCAGGGCCAAAGTGAGTTTTCCTAAAACTTACAAATTATTTGGACATATGAACATTTTTCTCAGTTGAACATCTGTCAACTTTGCATCAGTTTAAGCTGCTGGGAAGTCAGACTTTTAAGTAAATTGGAAATTTTATGTAAAATAAGATTTATATTCTTTTGACACTAAGACACACTTTTTGCCTAATTATTTAAACCTAGTTTAGATGAAAGCTTTACAGGTATAACAAAATACAATATTTTTTTTCCCCTTGAGAGCAATGTAAGTTGAAAGGGTTTGTTTTGTTTTTTTTTCTCCCCTGGTCTCCATCTTCCCTTCCTCATATTTAGATTTCAAAATATCTTGTATCTCCTTACTGATATTCCTAAAATTTCTCTTTCATATTGTTACAGAAATGAACCAAGACTGCAGTAAAATATAGATAGCCTAATGCTGAATTTAGAAAATGCTTCACAGGAAAAAGTTAGTCATATAAATTACTTCCTTACCCACAATATTTCCAGGCAAAAAGACAATGATGCTCATGATAATGGAACCTAGCCAGTAGAGACCAATGGTTCTATAGCTTTGTCTGTTTAAAAAAGAGAACAGAATAATTATTGCACCTTTTCTAAAAATCCCCTACCCCAAATATTATACTCATTGCCATGGTTGTATTTCAGTATGTAAAGATTTAAGAATCTGTACCACAAGTCAACAGTGGATTCTTGCCTCTGATATGGAAAAATCCTACATTCACGTGTGAGGAGATTAAAGGTTATCCCATGAACCATATAGGCTCTGGGCATACTCAGTTATTTACTGTCATGTTTCACTCCTCAAGGCTGAGTCTGCACATCACAGGTCATACCAGACTATAAAAGAATTAATAATTAATTCCATACTGTTAATGCTTCTATTACCAGCAGGTACATTAGCCTCTGGAACTGAAGTACTTACTTTCTCAAACTTGCTATTCAACTGCAAGAAACATAAGAATCTCTAGAAATAGCCATTTTCTCTTAAACTTCATGACACTCTCTAACATGGATGAGAGACTCAATGTTGTGCTAAGCAATGCATTATTCCTATCCTAAATTTATTTGAAAAACGAATTGTTTTTCTCACACGTGCTTTTAATGTGCATCATCTTTAAGCTTTTAGCTAACACTATGGGTGCAGATGTGCTGCTCTCTGCTGCAGAATGAAGACAGATACATCCCCACGCATTTGCTGGGCTTAGGCAGCTGAGAGAGAGGGTAACTTGGCGAGGGTACAACTCCTGAATGTAATGAAATTTTAACAGCATTGCTTTGGCCTAAGACATGGAACCACCCTGAAAGAAAAATCTGAACACTGCATAGAAAAGAAAGCCCTTTGTAGGTTATGTGAGAACGGGAGCAAAGCAAACAGTACACAAATCAAACTGACTTACTCCCACGCAATAGCTGCCACCATCAACAGGTACATCAGATAGTGAGCAGAGCCATCCCAGTAGCAGATCACATGGCCATAGGCAGTGTTCAGATATGGCTCACCCTGGGGAAACATGTATTTTAGAAGAGATTCAGTGATTAGAGGAAGAATAACAAATAATTAATAAAGAACACCAAGAGATAAGTTCAGAAAAGTAACTGGTGTTCTTGCAATCCAGTGGTACAGTTTTTGACTGACAATACGTATTTCCAAGCACAGACCTGATGTATGCAGGATCAGCTATAATTAAATGAGTCCTAGAGCTGCAAAACAGGGGGCAAGATGGTAGGGAAAACTCCTATGTGTGACTGTCAGCATTACTCTGCTACATTATGGAAATATGACTTTTCCATATTTTAGCGATAAAAGCTACAAAATAAACATACATATAGCATGGAACAAATCCAGATATATTTAGCAACCTAGAGATCTACAACAGTATTGAATATATTGATACCAACGTATAACCTTGTAAGGTCCAACTCATTTCTCGCTTAGGTTCATGGAATCTTTTCAATGACTTCAGTGACTTTCATATCAAGCTCTTACTGAGCTATTTTTGGTGGATGTTGATATTCAGGAGCCAACAGATTCTGCTGACTAGGTACCTGGCATCATCATTTTTTAACTCTACTTTAATTCCTTTTAGTAAAGTGATTAGGCAAAAATAAAACAGCAATTTTGTTTTCTTCTTGGTAACACATTTAGGTGCTGCCAGACTCCACTCCTGGGTGCTGTCTATGGCTTTCTGCAAACACGTGCAGTCCATCCATTTCCCAGAAGTTAATACAGAACAGTGTTACTTAAACTAAGTGAAATAATGTTGGAGTATGAAAGGTACATTCTTTTTCCCAAATGAGTCAGTGGTTTCAAGCCAGAGAAGGTTTTGTCCATAACAATAACAAAGCAGGTCAATGACAAAATTCAAGAAGACCCATTGAACGTGTATTTGTATGAATGGCTATTTCTCTGGGACAAATACTACACCAAGTTATTTATAGTGAAGATTTTATTTACATTTGTAAGCCAAACTATTATTTACCTCTCTCAAGTAATGAGTCATGAATCCATCAATAATTCCATCCTGTTCCAACCCAATTATTAGGTTCACTACACTGGTAAAGGCAAATACAGCATAAACTGTAATAAGATAAGGAAAAGAAATTAATAAAGACTTGGAATCACACAGTTGCTTCACAGTCTGATAAATTCAGTCAGACAGAGATCTATCGAACTAGTTGCATCTACTTTGAGGTCACAGATACTTAACACACAATATGACTTTCCCACATAGCTCAGTATTTTTTAATTAGTGGTTAGTCAACACAGTTCTTAGGAAGCTTTTCTGAGGAATGAGAAATTCTGTAAAGCTGTAGGCACAGCCTCCATGGAAAGTCAGTGTCTGCAGAAAGGACTATGTAGCCTTTCAAAAATCTTGGATACACGAAGTGTACAGCCTTGACTGTAGTCATCACTTGGAAAGGAGAAAGGACAACAAAAAGGAGGTGGAGAGGGAGTTGTCATTTTTGCAGGTGAGCAAGGCAAATACATAACCCATGGCAGTCTGTAGCAGACCTTGCTGGCAAATTAGCCAGTCCCTCCTTCAGGACAGGAAATTTAGCTTCATCATAACCAGGACATACCATAAAACAGCGGGTCTTTTGGTGGTTTTCTTTTGACAAGAACACGAGCCAACAGAGCAATAAGAACCAGAACCAGCAAACCAACTGCAACGATTACCCAGGAACTGCAACAGTATTTAAAAAAAAACAAGTTTAAAAGAAAGACAAAGACAGAATTTTGCTTCTTCAGCTTTTCTTACCAGCTATCCTCAAACACACATACTCTTAAAGTAACTTCTAATACTTTAAAAGGCAGATTTTAAAGTCCCTTTCATAGTCCATCATAGTACTTATTTTATAATTCTGCAGAATTTATGTGCCTCTATTTTCACATGTGATCAGCTAAAAAAAGAAAATACAAAAATAGCTAGACAAACAACATATCCAGGAGTCTAGATTTGTCAGACTAAAATCAGTTTTCATACTGGTATCTACAAAAATAAACAAAAATCATGGGAAAATTAAAGACCAATGAGAGGTGAAGATCAAACCCGTAGAGATTTCAAGGCCAAAAAGGATCATTGGGGCCATTTTATCTAACCTCAGCAATAAATTATCTACCCAGGAAATGACATATTCAAAACTAAACCACATCAGTTCCATGGCATAGGAGTGGCAGTGTGGAGCACCTATGATGGATCTAGCTTTGATGTTCAGTTTTGAAGTGCTACCAGGGGTCTCTCTGGCCCTACAAGGCAGGACCATTTGAGGGGGTTCAGTAATCAATGCAGGTAGGCTCAGTGGAAACATCTTTTCCTTGGAGATGGAGCCATAATGTTAGTGCATGTAAAGTGACGACAGGGGAAAGCACAAAAAATCTTTGGCACAAAGCAGTTTAAAATTGTTTTAAAGCTCTAAGTATGTAAATTATACTTAGCTCTCTAGACTGTCCTCCTCAGTGTTCAATTTTGTGCTTGTGTAAGAAAAAAAATGAAGGGGAAAATTAGGTAAAGTACAGGTGCATAAGCTAAAAATATCTGATACATCATTTTATACATGTGGTACTTATACATAGTACCACTCTGTGTCAAGAAAACAAATTGTGTACAAACAAATTATATTACGACAATTTCAGCCTTAGTGAAACTTGACTTAAAATTATTGCAAAAAATCTGCAAGACCAAACATTTCAGAATATATATACACATACTTTCTGAGTCAGGATGAGCAGTACTAGCTTGTTGATTTGTTTCATGGTTTGAATCTTCTGATAGTCTGTTTTCCCAGGGATGAATTTCTTGGTACTGTTACAGCTGTTAATATTGCAGTGACTTTTCACTGCAGTCTATCATTTTGAAATAAATATTGGCAATGAATCAAGTAAGTCAGCATGTGTTATTCGACATTACTCCAGCAGTGAGAAACCAAAAATTTTGTTATCAGCCAGAAGGAGGAAAATGAGGAAGGAACAGATGTAGCAAAGCCTTTAAAACATGAAGCAAATATTTGTGCAGTAGTTGCAAAACACCCCAGGCTGTTGGGATCACAAAATACCAAACAGACCTTTGAGTGAACCGTTTGTTGCCGTGAAGAAAGACTTTTCTTTTCTAGACCTGCCGTTTATCCTGAGACCGCGTGTTTTGGCAGAACGAGGGCATACGGTCATTATTAGTTAAACTCACAGGCTCAGGGGGTGCCTGCAGGAAGCCTGCGGGAGCTCTCCGGGGCTGGTGAGTTCTTCCACTCGTTGGATTTTGTTTGTGAATGCCCGGACAGGGAGCCGGAGGGAGGCTGCCCCCGGTCCCGGCACGGGCGGTACCGTCCGGGCTGCTCCGTCCCCTCGGCGGTACCGCCAGCCCGGGGTGACCGGAGCTCCGGGACACGCTCCAGGTGATGGGCACCGGCAGCGTGGAGGGTCCCAGGGTGAGCGGTCAGGCTGAGCTCCCCCTCTGCATCCCAGAGGACGCGGGCAGGACCCGGGAGCGGCGAGGCGAGGTCCGCCCCGCTGTCCCGCTCCGCCGCCCGCCCCGTCCCGCTCAGCCCCGCGCCGCCGACAAAAACAGCCGCGGGGACCCCCCGCCCCGCCCCGGCCGCCGCCCAGCTCACCTGCCGGTGGCCGCCAGGCAGTTGAAGAGGTACGTGACGGGGATGGCGGTGAGCGAGAGCACGAACACGCCGGTGGCCGCCGAGGCGCTCATCGCCGCGGCGGGAGGCGGCGGCCGCCCTGCTCGCCCCAGCCGAGCGCCGCGCCGGGCCCGAGGCACCGCCTCGCCCCAGCCCCGCACGCCCCGCGGCCCCGGCCCGCCGCCCGCCCCATCGCCGGCGGCCGCCCCCCCGCCCCGCGCGGGGAAGGTTAAATCCGCCTCGGAAACCGGAGCCGCCCGGAGAGCGCCGCGGAGCTCTGCCCGCCCCCGGGGCTCGCCCCGCTCCCCTCGCCCCTGCCCCGCGGTCGGGGATTGCTCGACGGGCGATGCTGCGGGACCGGGGGCGCGGGTCCAGCCCCGCGGGGACGGGCGCTCCTCCTCGGCCCGGCAGTGGCCGAGGGGCTGCCGTGACAGCCGGGCTGAGCCGAGGGGCTGAGCGCCGTCAAAGAGGCCTCACGGGTTAACTGCGGGTGACGGCGCGGCGAGGTACCGGGGCGGCGGCAGCCGGAGCGCGGGGTCCGCGGAACCGATCCGGGCTCATGAGAGGTGGTAGATGGAGACAGGGTCCCCTTGGTCTCCCTGAAAAACCCGTAAAAATATTATGCATCTCTTTTGCATCAGTATTTAGCTGGGTTAATAAGAACTTGAACAGTTAATAAGAACAAGGGCATTCGCGTTTTTAAAATGATGGGGAAAAAATTGCGAACTCACCTTTTCCGTTTTAAATGTCAAAAATAACTAGCAAATGTTAAGCATATGTCTGACCTTGTCCATCAGCGTTTTTTTTTCCTGGCTTCAAACTTTGTTTATATATGGGTATCAACACTAAAGTGTCAGTGGTGGAATGAGCCTTGTGCACAAGGCAAACAGAAATGAAAACCGCTGTTCCTAGAAGTTACTGAGCATTTAGTTCCAGGACACTGGTAAGTGAGATTGATCATCCAGTGTTGCTTGGAGAAAACAGCAAATGCGTTTCTAGCACGCCAGGAAAGCTCTTTCCGGAAGAATTAACGCTGTTGTAAAAACACCCCTCTGCAATAGTGGGCACAATTCTGATTCCCTCGTGTTGAAATGAGACAATGGAGGACTGCTAAGGTGGCTGAGGAAATAGGGCACCTGCCTGTCAGGAAGAGGCTGAAGAGATTGGGATATACGTGCTCTCTGTAAATACTTGAGGAGTTAACACCAGTGAGAGGAAAAAACTATTTAATTTGAAGGATGAAGCTGTGAAGAAACTTTGGCTAGTTTTCAGAAACAGCCATGAGTGACAAAAGATCTTCTAAGTGTTTTACCCTAAATTTGGTAAGTTTAAGCAATAGACTAATTGATATAATACCTCCTTCTGAAAGGAACTTGATGACCCAGATTATATCTATGTCCTGTATATTATACAAACAAATTTTTGTTAAGTTTTTCAAGTGAGAGAGGTCTAGAATCTGGCCATGGGTATACAAATGGGTTAAACCATGCCCAATCAAACTATCCAGTAAAAACATGATGCAACTCCCAGAAGTAATTTAGTCCACCCAAGTGTCAGAATTGCCATTGGATGAGTCAGGGCTAAATTTACCACCTCCAAATGCCTACCTTTCAATGCACAGCCGGTTTACTTCTCAAGCTTTCAAATGTATAGGCTGCTTATTTGTATGCAGCTGCCACAGTGCAGTCTCAAGATTCATGTCTCAAGCTTTGCTTCTCAGTTCCCGTGTCTGTAAAGTCAAACACTTTCTTTCTTACCCCTCTGCCAGCATATTCCAGCTCCGATTTGCACCCAGCTTGTTCATCAAGTCCTATTTCAACTTCTGAGTAGAAAATGCCAAGGCACATCCTGTGGTAATCACAATGCAACTCAACTGTACAGGTGCATTGTTCGAGTCTTTTGTGTTGAAATCTATCAACTTTTGATTAGAAATATAATTATGAGCATCTGGTAGCAGAAAAGACCCATGAAATGTGATGTTTGAAGTGGTTTTTTCCAAAAGGGCATGTTTTTCCCTTTCATTTTCATCTCTTACTGTGTGAAAGAAGAACTAGTGAGCCTTCCAGCTCCATCATTCCTTTCCATGTCCTGACAGAGGAGGCCCCCAAGTCCACCCATGATAGTGCTGAACATGTAGACTCTGGTATGCCACACTTTCCATATCAGAAGAATTTTTCTTCTAGTAGCTACAGAGTCTTTTAACTCTGGCCTTTCTTCTCTGTGCCAAAATATCCTGGCTTCTATTTCAGGCTTTAGGAAGGAAATAAAATTCCCCAGCATTCTTGTTGACTTTATTTTAACAGTTGAAACCAATTCTAGAGAAAAAGGAAAACTTGCTCGGTTGGCACAGTCTGAAACCACTGACCAACTTCCCCAATGGCACATAGTTCAAAATTGGGCTTCAGTCAGAAATTAAATAAAACAGCAAATAATCTTAGTGATCAAACACTTGAAAACCACGAGTCCTCAAAAACTAACACATGCGTTTCTTGACAACTTTAAGTGTTCTTGTGGGGGAGGAAGGGGAAAGAAGAACTTAAACTTCAACTGCTTGTAACACCACCCTCTATTCACAAGTACCAGAACAGTGATACAAAAAGGAAGGTAGGAATAGGGTGTCTCTAACAACATAATTACTAATGAGAGTGTTATATGAAAGCAGTGTTGATAAGCTGCTGTCACCAGAATGAGTGTAACCTCTCAGCTTCCTGTCACATAATTATGTTCATTTCTTGATGTTGTAAAGTCTTTTTTTTTTCTTTTTTTTTCTCCCCCCGAATTTTATAAATGGTAACATCATCATGAGACATGTGGATGTCATCATTTGTAGAAAATCAAACACTATTTAACTATTTAGCAATATTAGATGTCAGGATAAGATTGAAACAAATGTATATCCTACACAAACTGCAATGAAGTTTAGAAGAGCAAAATGGAGTAATGGAAACATGAAAATTAAGACTCCTTCCCACGCAGAAATTGTCAGAGGACCATATTTATTGACATGAGATTCCTAGAGTTCTGATCTTATATTTCACCTGAAAAATAGTCCCTTCAGCAGCACAGTGCCAAAACCAGTGATCCTTTACCTCACTGTAACATTCCCGTGTCAGAAGCTACATCATTTCTGTCTAATTGGTCATTTTAGAACAGGTAACCCAACTCTCTGTCAAATCACAAGTATCAGCCCTATGCCACATGTCAGATTCCTCACTGGGAATCCTGACCACAGCAACCAGCCAGTTCCACTTGTGTGGCCCCTCAGCTGGCACTGCTCGACTCACAGACAGTACGCTTGGGCTGATGTTTGTCAGCTTCTCGATTAGACCATTAATCAGTACTTATATTATGGAAGATGTTTCTCTCCAGTCTCTGTACTAAATGGTGGCAGTTCAGTTTTGATGTCAGGACTGAGAAGGCATTTGTAAGTGTGCCAGCAAAAGAACATTGTGGAGGATATAAAAATACTTATTTATTAATGGTCAGCTACAAAGTAGGAGACTAACTGGCCATTAGGTCTTTGTGTCTACTTTTAGTTTGGGAAACAGCTCTTATCTTTAATAACTGCCTGTTAAATCATGACAAATTGTAAGGTTTAACATTATATCAAGACACACTTGACTTTATTTTAAATAAAAATTACATTAATCTAAACAAATGTAGGGAGCTGAACCTTAAGCAAGCACATGAAGATCAATGCAAGGATTAAGAGACACTATTTATATCTCTTGGAAGTACTGCTCATGTGTTCACACAGGGCTCTGCCAAGCAGCAAGCTTTCATTGCTTTATGATGCCAGCTACAAAATACCATCCTGGTACAAAACAACTTGTGTCATTCAATTTTTATGGAACTAAGCTGATACATTCTGCAGAGTGTACTTCCTGTATCTGCAAGTGACTTCTTAAGGCAAGAGGAGTCAGTAAAACCAATAGATCAGATAAAGATGGATTAAAATGTGAATTAAATAATGAATTAAAAGCTTCATATTTGAGACTTCTGTTAATGTGTTAATTTGCTAAGGGAGCAGCTTAGATCATAGATAACTGCAATGCTCTAACAGCTTTAAAGCCAATCCATTTTATTTCTGAATTTCTTGTTAGTCGAGGATACAAGATATAATAAATGATGGTGTATTGTAAATCTCAGACTGCCTGGTGCACCAGAGGCAACATAATGGAGCTCATATGGTATGCACTGGGGGTCAGGAGGCCACGTACTAATGATCTGCTGCGGATCTGGGGGGATTCGCCAGCAGCAGTCACAGCACCAAAGAAGCATTCAAAGGGGAATTTTAGTGATTAGTGTTCATATCATTTACAAATTGGATATTGGTACTTTAAAAACAGAGCTGACTTTTGTGCTACAGCCTGTATTCACCAACCAATAATCTTAGGAGGAAAAAAGACGTGTCAGAGTAAAATTAACAGGCATGATAGTGAAAGAGAGTATGTCAATCGTACTATTTGTCTTAAACTGCAAATGGTAAGTATGACTTCCCAGTAAGAATCTTGTTAATTGTATGGAAATTGAACTGTTAACTACAAATAATTACAATGTATTAGGAGAAATTAAATTTGAAATTATTATTATTATTGCTAAAAATCAGAAAAGTATATCAATATAATTGAGGGCACAAGAAACAGGACAACTCCAGGACAACTAACTCCAGGACAACTAACTAGCACAGCTGAAAATGAGCAATAAAATGCTCAGATACAAGAATTACTTGCAGAAATGATAGGGCAAAGAATTATGAATTAAAAAAATTCGGAGAAAGTTGCATGCTCCTTATAGTCAGTTTTAGAATACAAGTGAATTTATAACAGAGAAAAAACAACAATTGCTCTTATTATGGCTTTTTTTTTTGAATTATATTATCACTTTACAAGACATAAGACTTAATCCCCGCCCTTAGTGTTCCTCAGCTCTAAGACTGTTTTCTGTGTATACATGGATTCAATGCTCCAAAACTGGATCTGTTACCTGCAGACCCCACATCACGACAGTACAGGCAAATGCAAACCAGACAGAAGAAAACAATAATAACCACAAGAAAAATCCCAAAGAAATAACATTGTTATTGTAGTTGTTATTAACCATAGTTATTAAAAATTACACATTTGGGCAACTATAATTCAGTGATGGGAACAGTAATATGCATGTCTGTCATTCACAGCAATGGCATGGATCAGATGTAGGAGATTTTAAGAATCTAATTCAGCATAGAAAGGAAAAGATGTCATCAAATGGCCCCAACCAGGAAGCTTAATCAGAAACAAATCTGTGACTTACTCTGAATTATTCTCTTCCCTCCTGAAGCAGAGAAAGGATGCTAACCACTTATGAGAACAATTGCTAATCACTGTAAAAATATGTGCCAACTCAAAACCTCTGAT